GGGTTTGGGGTTTGTTTGTTTTTGTGTCGGAGGTTTTGGGTTTGGGTGTTTTGGGTTTGGGTGTTGGAGGTTGAGGTTTCCGAAGGGATGTGCTTGCAAAGTTTTATTGCTCTTAATATTATTCAGTTCGTCTCTATAGCTAAGGGCATGCTCTTTATCTTGACAATAGTTGTCTTTATCTGCTTCCGTTGCGTGATAAGCTAGGCCCGTTATCTCCCATGATGATCTTAATCTATACTGTAACGCTGACCTGTACAAATCAAAACAAGCTGTCAAACAGTTGTTTCCTGGTCTATTCCTTAAGTTGTTTTTTACTGAGAATATCAATTATTACTCAACATCTGATCTTTCTTTTTTCGGGTTTTGTTTTTTCTAGTTAGGTCTCCTCGGCCAATATTATTGCTACAATTTTCCAACATGGTGGAGCAAGCATTTTTGTGTGAGTGTAGTTCTGTCAACACCTCCTGCTGTCAGTACTCCTCCACGGCACGGCCTGCTATGAAAAACGTGAACAATATTTATAATTTTTTCACCTCTCACAACTTCCCGCCCACTAACTATGACACGGCACATTTCTCTTCCTTCCCCGCCAATATGAAAAACAAAAACGTAAATATTTATTTACATATCTTACAAGTAGTCATACTAAACAACCTAATAATCGCTCGTGCCTTATAAACATTTTCACTTTTATCCCATGAATGGGCAGACTCCTCCTTCCCCATCACGAAGGATAACCACGCGAAATCTAAAGCTTTGTCATATGATGATGATGTTGTAGTAACTTTGCTAGAAGTAACTCAGAGGACGGTGCTCCCATCATGTCTATCGTACTAGTTCTAGTGAAAATAAATATCGATCCATATTATGGATGTTAGTTAGACCAGTACTACGAGTAGAGAAGCTGACCTTGTCAGCCGGAAACATAGCCGTGGGTTTGTAATGTGATGTAGAAGTTGTAGGTGATGTACTAGGAGCTGCATCTTTATCACAAGATCGAGTAATATGTTTTTTGTCTAACAAGTACTTAAAAGAAAACACTCTAGGCCATGTTATATGAAGAGGTATGCGAAGAGAAATACTACCAAATGAATTAATCCTGAGCGTCAGGAGCATTCGCTCATCATCTCCTCTGAAAAGGAGCTTCGTCTCTATAGGAGATTTTTAGTGTAGCGGCCATGAATCCTGCTTAGAATGATTGGTATTAGAAGATTTATGAAATACCCGACTGTGTCATTGGTATTAGATTTAATCTGTGTAAGAGTTATTGCTTCAAACATGACCAGGGAGGGTTAGACATGAGGACCATGACCAATACCCAACGCTATCTACTAAGTTGAATTGAAGACTTCAAATACTCAACGCGACTGATAGGATGACATTCTTACCCATTGTTGTGGTGGTTGTTACCTAGTCGTAGTCCCTCTCCAGCACCCTCCAATCACTCTACTTCATCTGCAACATCATCGTCTCGTACTTACAAAGTACTCAATGAATATCAAAGAAAGGGCGGCTTCGTCTTGCCGGTAGTTTAGGATGACTTCTTGAGACGCAGTGATGATGATGAAAAGGCTAAAAAATTTCAATGTCCATCTTAGTGTAGTTAAGTCCTGCTCGGGCCGTAGAGTTAGAACATCTATTTACTCACAGGAAAAAAAAGCCTCTTGTGGTTGTCGGTTGACTATAAAGGATCGACTCACGTAAAGACGGTGGTCATTGTAAACAACACTTTCAGGAGGAGACAAGGACAGCTTTACCGAAGGACATCAGAGTACTGGCCTGTATGTTATTCTTAAACAGTAGGATTATGCGGAAGATGTGGTTTTTGATCTCCCCGTCTTCCAGAATCATTTCGCTTTCATCTGCCTGGTTATTATCTTCTTTTTCATCTATTAAGCACAACAAGTTTGATCGTCGTCCTCGTACTACAGTTACTCGAGGACGAGAGCTTGCACTATAGTGCAGCATGATGTTATTATTAACCGAAAACTGAAGAATATAAGCGAGAAGCTAACTGAAATAATAGAGTGTTGACTAGTACGTAACTCTTCTTTCAGTATTTCGCTTATAATATTTCTAAGTTACTTTACTTCCTATTGGTGCTTAATATTGTTATTCCGTAGCCATTTTGGCTCAAGCAGGAACTCAGTAATTTTCCCCTTCGGCTTAGACGAGGTGTGCTGCAAATCTTGTCAGTTTATTGCCGAACTCGAATATTTCATCCCGTTGTATCCAGCACTTCACATTCAGAGGACTCGTAGCACAGCGAGTCCCCTCTTCCGCTTGAACAATATACATGAGCATGAGGCACCCTGTTCCCACGTATCGTCTCAGGACGTGGTGGTGCAGACTCCGCAGCCACGAGTCCGGTTTCCGGCAACCCACTCTAGGCATTAGTCAAGAGTAAGCAGGGTTGGCGGCCCTGCCCTCGTGCCTTGTAGGCCGGCGCATAAGAGCGGGACGGTTGGCAGCCGGTGGAGGTTTATAGTAATTAATTAATCACCTCCTTTGCCCCTAGATTTTTCTCCATTATATAACCGACAGGTTCGTAGGCAATTAGTGCGCGGTAGTATAAGGAGGTTAATGCACTCCACCCGTCGCCGGCAGGTACACCGGACAACACTGGGATCACCCTTTCGGCGTTCTCGGACTACAAAAAAAAAACAACCCTCGTGGAGGCCCTCTGAATGAATGAGTAAACAAGAGGATCGGTAGAGAAGCGTAGGATTTTGATAACCGTTTGCGATCCCCTTTAACAATATACATTCAACTTCGACACATAATCACGGAACTATCCACCTCCTTCCGATCGAGGAGGTTCGATGTATTTTTTCCACTTCATCGGAGGTTACAAATAAAATACTCCAGGAGGTACTCCAATCAATCCCCTCCCTTCAGAAACATACTCCTCTCGTTGTTAATTGAAAGCATTTAGTGCAGGGGTTAGTCTACTCTACGACCCACAATCTAGTCCCTTCGTCATTATTTTTCATGGACAAACTAACTACTGATCTACATGATTTCTACAAGCTGCTACTGATCTATGAAAATATCATATATTATACATAGTAATCGTTTGTGCCTTTAATTTATGGACAAAGCGAAAGGTCTCCTGATTCGTACACGTACTTCAATCGAAGAACTTCAACATCATAGTATCGTCGGTGAATCGAAAACCCAACTAAGCTGGATCTGTTCCATCTGTGACAACAGGGACCCTCCAAAAATGCTCCGACATTAAGCTGGATCTGTTCCATCTGTGACAACAGGGGTTGCATCCGTGTCCATCGGAGTGACCATACTAGCCGGAGAAAGGATCTTTTTTAAACCCATCTACGCACAAGCTACATCTTCACGCAGAAGAACCAACGCACTAGAAGTAGCAAGAAGATCTTCAAAAAGTTTCTTTCTGATGCTTTTACGGATGAAGAAAAATAACCGGAGCTACGAGAGTGCAAACTCAGTATCCTCACTTGCAAGTGATGAAATTCAAATTACTATCAACCCAAAAAACAACAAAATAGGACGAAAGCAAATAGGCGGTAGAACAAAAAATGGCGTAGTAGGAAACTTATGAAAAACATAGACGGTAGTCTCTACTTAACATCTACACCCTATCAGTAGCGTCATTCTGCTTCTAGCTAGTCACCTAGGTAGAGCAGCGCCACGCGTTGATGACGATAGTTTTTTTTTGCTTGAATATTTGGGACTGGTAGCTTCACTGAAGAACTAGTCAATGACGAGTTGATTTCAATACTAGAATTTTTTTCTATTGGTATAATAACTACCTATTTTTACAACATAGTACTAACGCAGTTCTTACTCTCGATCAAATTTGACTTTTCAATTATTTTGTTTTTTCCAAAAGATGCCACTACTTTCGTGTCGTGCGTGCAGCGAAAACCCGCTGGACATCTGGGCTTCGCTGTTCGGGGGTGGAAAAGAGGAAAAACCATCAGCGAATACGGTCAATAAAGCCCAGCAGCCGGGGAATAAGAGCAAGTAATCATGATGAAAAGTCTTTAATGACTTTAAAAAGTCTAAGTGCCCTTTAATCATGTAGTTCGGGTTTGCGTTTGGCGTATCAGGTGGCATGATACATACTGTCACATTTAGACCTTCAACAATGATTCTATTGTCATTTTGATTTTCAACAATGATCCTATTACATCATGATTACCACAGGACGAGCAGCAAAGACCCCAAGCAGCAACCCGACGGAACGCAACAGCAGAAGAAAGGTCGAAGAAATGGAGCAATCTATAAAAAGCGGACGCCTGAAGAAGTCAAAAAATGTGTGGAGGCGTGGGAGCCCTATGCCCATCCAAGAGCACGTGAATTTTTTCCGACAAAAGAAATGCTCTGCAACATACTGGAACATTTGGCACTTGGTACTCGTAAATACTCGCATATATTTATACAAGTACTTACACAATCTAGGGATAATCCGGTTATATTCTAACAATTACATCCACAAAAATCTAGTAGATCTTCTGCTTGTCCTTTCCTCGTCTTCGGATGTTACTTCAGTCCCATTCAATGTATGAGTAATATCACTTCAACGAAACAGGTGTCCACAACGCAGACGACCCGGTCTTGGGGGACGACACGAAATGTGTCTATTGGTACGGGGATGTTACGACAAGTGATCAACAAGCTGCTGTCACCATGATCAAGCCGGGAGAGGCGACGGAAAGTACTAGTCGTGTTTGTAGAGGAAAAAGTCTAAAGTAGACTTCTCGTTTGAATATTAGTAACAATGAAAGTAATTGTAAGAGAGTTGCATTAAATATATTGTGCATTCAACGTTATTTCATCATTTCTTCAACCCCACCGAACTGCTCGTACAAAACAAAGGTATCACCTACGTGAACCGCGTCCTAGCATTTATTTTTGCAACGGATGAGTCCTTCGAAGAGCTCATGCGATTACCAAAGCAGCCTTTCAAGATGAGTTGTGGAGACCAATTGTGCGTCAATTTGGCCCATATATCCCTTCAAGTCGCATCCGGTGAAGAGGAAGATCTGTGTAGGCAAGCCCCTCTTCCGCCTGCGCCAGCTGCGCCAGCACCGGCACCTCCGAGAGAACAAGTTGCAGGAGGAGGACCACAAGCATTAGCACAGTCAGGACAGCCGCCAGCATCATCTTCGAGTTCCTCCACTTCTTCGAGTAGTATGCAAGGAAGGACTGCTGCAGCGAATGTTGATGCACAACCAGTACAACAAGCGTATAACAATCAGTATCACCAGAACTACAACAACGTTCTTCCACAAGCAGCTGATAATTACCAGACCTCTGGCGCTGTTGCTTCCTCATCGAGTTCGAGCAGTAGAGCTCCAATCATGTCACCAGAAACACAGGAGCATCAACTTGGCAGCAGTTCTTCAACTTCGTCTCGTAGTCCAACGGAACAACAACATCAAACTCCTATTAATGGTGGCGATCCTCCAACAAAGCACAACTACACCTACAGCAAAACTTCGGGTTCCACTACAGCCACCAGTTCAAAGATGACTGCGAGCGTAGGTGATGTTCCACCACCACCCGGTCTGGAGATGTACGCCTCCGAAAGTCCAATAGCGGAACCACATCAATATCCGCGAAATACAGGAGAGGTGACGCAGGCACCACCAGCAGCAAAATAATCACGACCACCTCCACGATTATCTTCGGCATCGGATGCTCATGGCTCATGGTTCTCTCGATACGCCAACGCCAACCCAGATTAAGTTCCACAACATCTAGAGTCCTCATCCCATCATGACCTTCCACTTCCTAGTACCACTGCATCTCCCAGTCTGCAGGGCACCAGTGTAACGAAAGAGTCTACAACTGCCTCATTGAATAATGTTCATGTTGTACAACTTGTAGGATGTGAATGATGTGACATCTACATCTAGTGATTTCAACTAGATCTAGAAGAGGCTTTGTGTTTGTCTTTCTCCACAAATCAATTCTTCAGATAAACAGCAATCTCTCATATTTAGTTCTTAGTCAACATCTCTGACTCTTTGTGAAGATCTTCAGTCAACATCTTCTACCGTTGATTGTGATCAGTGCATAGAGTAGCAATCTCGGTCTCATTTTGGTTCCTTGTGCTTGCCCTTGAGCTTGACCTAGTAAGAAGAGCTACAACTTCTTCATCTACCAAGAAGAAGAAAATAAGTTCTTTCACTCGATGTCTATCTAAACACCGTCTATCTCCTTCATTATTATTGTAATTTTTTTTTGGTCGTCGGTCTATGATTTAATCTATCAATGATCCTATGTCTATGAACCTGAATGTATACCTCATCGTCGTTCCTTCATCAAGATTGCTAAGAAGATGTTGTTGTCAAGAAAGATTATACGCTGAACTTATCTTTCAAAGATGTCCTCCGCTGACTCCCAGACAGAGGTACTAAGTCCTTGTGCAACTGCTTTTTTGTTCTGAATTTGCGGGTCGCATAGAGTTGGATGATCCGGAATTGTCGACGACTCACAATTTGCATGAGCGAGAGAGCAAATGCGAATTTCGTGATCGTGGTCTCTCTGAGAAGAGGATAAAACTTTTTGTCGACATCGAAATGATAAAGAAATGGAGCCATTTTTAAGCAGCAAAGAGGCTGAGATGACAGACTGGGAGATAAAAGCCAGTAAAGTGTGAAGAACAAGAGCAGAGGTAGCCGATGTAAGTACCACAAAAAAGAGTAGTTTTCTAGAACGCGAAAGACACGTCGACTAGAGATTCGAGGAACATGCGTTTGTGCACATCAGGGAGGAATGTTCTCAATTTTTAGACAGCAGAACACATGATTGCCCGCCTTCTCCGAACGGGCACAGTAGCACCATGGCGTGTTCGATGACTCGATGTCAGCTTGCAGCAGGACTAGTCTTATGCTGTCGGCTAGTCGACGCTTACGTTCCGCTTCCAGACCTGGCGCAAACACTAGACCTTGTCTCATCGGATGGCAAGGTATGGCTGATCATGATAAGTGTTGGTTCGTTACCCCTACATGTCAAGTTGATGTACTGCAGAACAGAAACGATGACACATTAGTGTGTAGTGGTCTTTTCTACCCCTGGAGTGGGTACATTCATTCATTCACTCACTCAACAACGTATTTCTTCCTTGAAACCATCTTCATGCTCCTTCCAACTCAACACCAGGTCCCCGGAGCGCCCACCGCTCTGATGACGGCAGCTGAGGGCGCATCATCGTCAGTATCGAAGATTGACAGTGTCTATGACAACGTGTATGGCGACGAGGCAAAAATCGCAACGTCTACTAGAACAAATCAGTTCTTCAACAAAGCCGTAGGAAGAGGTCAGGAAGATGTAACCCAGCTAGGTCTTTTGGCATCCTCTTCCACTGTCAAAGACCGCTTAGAAGTAGGATTAGGTGGATCTGCATCGTCTAGAGCTACGGCAACGGCTCCACATACAGCTGGTTACGGAACGAAGGGCTTTCTACACAGCATTCCAGTACCTTTGGAGACAGGAGGTAAAATTTTCCATAGTAATATACCTTTGTTTTAAGGCTGCTGCAACTAATTATCTTCATCTTGTTCTTTTTTAAAATTTAGTTGTGAACCTGCAATTATCGAGAAGGGATGCTGGACAGCACGTGGAGCTACAACGTTATTCGCCATCAAAGTCCTCGTCATCAGAGTCCTCGTCATCAAATTTACAGGTAAGAAGAACAATCTGCTCGTAGAGTACGACGTTGTTCCCGCAAGTTCCGGATCCACGGTTTCAAGTACCCTTGATATGGGGACAAGAGGCAGTTCAAGGAGGAGGAATAGAGGAACTCAAGATGCATCTTCACCCACCACTGTAGATGCATCACCCACCATTCCTGTCGAAGCGATTACACGAGACGAGCAAATTCGGGAAGAGAATCGTGAGGGAATAACACTCGTTCCTGGTGGTCGCTATTCGAAGCGAGACGTCGAATACATCAACAAGCTGAGGAAAAAACAGGCAGCTGCTGCTCAAGGTGGAAGAAAAAGAATAGTACCCAAGAAGAACAGCAACCAAGTACAAGACGAAGAACTACAAGCAGGAAGAGAGGAAATTCCATCGAGGAAAGGATCACTAGTACACTCCTCAAGTGCCGTAAAAATGTTGTCTCATCATGAAGATTCGACGAGCCATCTTCAAGACCCGAGAAGTTTCGGCAACAAGGAAAAACCAAATAGTGTTTTGTTGACTACGTCCTCATCTTCATCTTCTTCATCTTTCGCCAGCTCCGCGGGTACCTCCGCCAGCTCCTCCAGCACTACAACAGCGAAGAGAAAAAACGACATTTTTCATTCGAGATGGCAGCAACAATGTCTCTCGTTTGCACAGTTCCTAAAGGATCACGGCGTTAAAGGCTCTGGGCTCATAGCGCAGTGGCATGCAGCTTGCATTAAGGCTAGTGAGGACTGGAAGTCTACTTACTTCGAGAGTCGAAGTGTAACTTCAATTTAGATCATTGATTGTCCTTCATTCTCTTCCAACCTCAGTTGAAAGCATGATACTATCTCCAAACTTCTAATTCAAAGTCTAGCACAGACGCCAACACTTGCCAAGGCATCATTGGTGCGGTCACGCCATTCGCAAGTAACCTTAGCTGGAGTCCTCAAGCAGTGTGCAATGCCATAGGGGAAGTGTGGCTAGTCTAAGCTGTGTCACTGAAACACATGTCATTTTAGCGTAGATGTACAGACCATGCATACTTGTGAAAAGCAGATTACCCGCAAGAATATGGGTCTTTCGTTCGGTTGAAGATACCGTGAAGAAATAATCACGTCACTGAATATTGAGTTATAATAGTTCTTCGACCGCTCTTCTTCACTTTCACAAACACTCCAATAGATTGGACGTTGCAGAGAATATATGGTGGGCACACATTCGGTGAGGCAAAGGTACTACAAAAAAAAGTCATATGTGCGAGTGCAAGAGGTGAGAAATTGAAAAAAATCAATTGATTACACAATCTGTAGCTTCTAGTCGATTTTGGCCAGGAGTATTTCCATTTCTGTGTGGTTTGGAGAGCACTTAACCACTTACAAGCTATCTGTTGAGCAGAGAGAACAAAGTGTCCACTTACAATCTATCTGTTGAGCAGAGAGAACAAAATGTTGTCATTCCACTTTGAAATTTTGATGCTTTCTTTGTTTCCTATTTCTGCAGCTACCCAACCATATTAACTTCCTTTCCACTTGATTGTTCCCTATCCCTTTCATTTTCCCCACACCTTTCATCCACAATCTACTATCAATTACCTGTCTTTAATCACTTATTTGAGCAGTTTGAATTAATTCCTTTACCTTTCATGCTCATTTGACTCTGTTGTGATAGTACTACACGACTACGTTAGATTCAAGATTATCACAGCAATAGATTTATGAGCTGGAGCTTGAAACCCCTGGCAGCAAAACAGCAGCTGAGCATCTGATGATCCAATTTTTCTTCTATTTCTCTGAATTTGGTTTATTTGGTGTATTAATTTAGTAAGCAAGATATCCCCTTTCACCTTCACGATCACGTAGCTGCAAAAATGAAGTTCATTGCCGATATTGCATCGCAAGCCGCGGTTGAGGCGGGCCTTCAGATGTCGTCCTCATGGAACGTGACCGCAACAGATGTTGACCATTTTTCTCAGATGTCAGCTACATCGTTTTTACAGCCTCCAAGTCCTACTCCACCTGGGCAAGAAAGACAGGAAAGGCACGAGTTGCTGAATCGACCAGATGTCCAGCAAATTCTTCCGCACTTGGCACCGGCACCAGCAGCAATGGGGGAAGTTCCTCCGTTTAAGCGGTATGCAAAATTGACCATTGCGGTAGACTCGTGGGGTTTTCTGGTGCTTATGATTCTAGCCGGCCTGGTGCTGATGTTCGGCGCTATCTACTACATTCGTTTGTATCTTCCGCGCGTGCGGCAAGCAGGGCACCTGCGACCGGTCAGCGTGGCCGAAATCGGGCTAGGAGATGCGCCCAGTACTGTGCGAGTTGAGGTCTTGGTCCAGAGCGGCTTTCGCGATTGGCATATGGGAAATCTTTATGTGGCTTTGCAAATCATATTTTTGCTCTACGTAACCTTTACCGCGTTGATCGCGTGGTTAGCGCGCAGTTTTCCGACCAAGTTTCTGTGGTACCTCAACGATTTCTTCAGGCTTGATTTGTGCAAGACGTCAAAGCAAAGCTGTTCACCATTACCAAACGCGGACTTGGTCAACCTCCAGTTAAGGCCTCCATTCCAGTCCATCTTGTTTTAGCCCATCTGTGACCTGCTTTCAAGTAGAAAAAGGGACACAGATGAGGGAAAAGATGGATTGTAGTGAGTTCTAACCCAGGCGTTTTTCCTCATTTTCTTCGCACTTGGCTTCGTTCTTTGCGTCATTTTTATCCTACACAGGGACACCTTTTGGGAGATCCTGTCCAGGGATCCTACTTCTCTATTTAAGGCTTGTTCCCGTAATGTGCATCTCCATTCGTCTCAAGAAGCAACATCTCGAAGGTGCTGTTTTCCCATATGATTAAATAAAAATATTAAGGGGAAACAGATGCAGATCCGAGATAATGTCGAAGCTGTTTGCCCATATTCACTCAGGGGAAAACAGATCTGAATTCGAGATGAATAGACTGAGTCTCGAGATGAAACAGGGACAGGGTGAGCTCTAATCTATCCAAAGCTCACCACGTCGTCACAGAGGAATACATTTTGCAACTACCCTTGGAAAGTGGCGCAGAGTTCGTTCAGCAGGCGCAAAAAGATATTGACAATTATCGAGTAAGCACAGCTCAAGAAGATGTAGACGTAGAGCAGGTAGTAGAAGAAGAAGATGCTGTTGCGGGTCGTGATGGTGCTGAAAAACGAATCTTACCCGCTCCGTTTAAAACCTTGAATTTTCTGCACAAACTCGAGGAAGAAGAAAATCGTGCGGAAAATGCTGAGGAATCTGAGGTACTCCTGTTCTTCTCATTTATTTCTGCATCTCGTCACATGTTTTCGAGTTTCAACGTGAGTAATTTAGTAAACCTCTATTTTAAGCTGATTATTTCTGCACGTGTCTTGTTGTAACATAAGTAATCATAATGATGAAATAAGTAACATAAAAGAAAGGACCTTGAAGAGACTGAAGCCGTCATTTGTTGAATCAACTGGCGGACAACTAGCGCCCGTTGTACTATAAATATCTTGAACTAGAAGAAGTAAGTACCACTAATAACATAAACATTGTTCTTAAACATAGTAGTAAAGAAAAGGAACTACTCCATGATTTATTTCGGGCTTTACCAGTTGTATTGATGGTCCTTTCCTCCTGTACACTGGACCACTGCCTACCTTAACAATACCTCCTTACAACCTACCAACAAATATATAAACTGAAATTTTTACTCCAGCGCCGTTCGATCCGTGGAGGTGAGCGTGTGCGTACAACTGCTACTTCTGGTGTTGGTGAACAAGACGAAGCGCCAGAAGAACCACCTTTATTAGCTACAGCTGGAGTTGCAACATCGAAGCTCATTAGTCGCAAAGTCCGAAGCATTTCGAAGGTGGAAAAGGTCGACTTTGCTGGCGAACGCATTCGTTCTATTAACTACGAGCTTGCCGACCTGTATTTCGATCCTGTTGTGCAATTTTTTCGCGCGCCGAAGAACCCGCTACTGACAAGCTACAGTTTGGCACAACTGCGTGGACGGAAGCCGCTAGTTTCGGATCATGGCAGTAAGGATGGTGGCTACAATCTTGATAGGGCTTCAAACTCAAGAGAAGATAGTAATATAGCAAGGAAGGATACAACTGGAAGTACAACTACAGGAGGTGGAGCAGGAAAAGCAACGACCGGGCTTCAAGTAGGAGCTTCTGCAACGGCAACATCGCAACCTCTGTCTGGAGACGAATGTCTAGGCTTGATCGAGTTGAAGCGGAATGAGATCGAGATCGAAGAGCTTGGATTTTGCCGCCTGTCTTTCCTCGAATTGTGTGTTTTGGTCAATGTATGGCAAGTATGGCGCGCGATCCAAGCGGGTCTGGTTGAGGCTATTGCGCTCTCGGTCATGCCCCTCGCATTAACTTTAGGGCAGATTTTCTACGTGGCTAGCGTCAAGAAAAAGAGCGCGCACGAGATGAAGGAGACAGCCATGCTGAATCCATCTGAAATACGGGTTTTAAGACGACCAAGGGGGGACCAAGGTCCATCTCGAGACAGAGAAGATGTTCTTCCGGCTGCCATTGCCAGCGGTGAAGAAAATCTCATGAAGACAAGTACGTTTCCAAACGCAAACCTAAACGCAACAGGAGCTTCAAAAGCTCTTGATCTGGAACATGAGGTGATTTCATCTGCATATTTGCGTGTCGGTGATATCTTCGAGATACCAGAAGGCGGAGTAGTTCCGTGTGACTGTATTCTTGTGGAAGGCACGGCATTGATTGATGAGGCGGACGTTACGGGAGAACCACTGCCTATCTCGAAAGTACCAGTCTCCGACACTAGCACAGACCTTTTAGACCTGAAAAAACACGGAAAACGACACTTTTTACATTGCGGCACGGTCGTGATCCAAAGCGAAGGGCCAACAATGCCGCCCGTGAGTCGACGCAATAAAAAGAAGTTGAAGTTTAAACCTCCGGGCACTGCTAAGACTAGAACTTCGTCGCAAATCAACGAAATGGATGATCAAAATGCGACCCAAAGTGTCAGACCGACTACAACCACACGAACTTCCTCGACCACTGCAGTTTCTAGTAGTAAATCCGGCGCAGCTGGTGCTCTGGCCCTTGTCGTGAATGTCGGCTGCGACACGAATAAGGGACAAATGATCGCGAAAATCATGTTTCCGCAAGCAGTGAAATGTCAATTTTCTGACAATCTCTTCCCCCTCTTGGTCGGCTGGTCCGCCATTCTGATGACATTCTGTCTGCTTCCTGGCATCGTGACTGCAATCAACAACAAGGCCTTGGCGTTCACGGCTATGGTGGATTCCATCTACGCGACGTTTGTTGTGGCTTTCACGGTGTTGAACCCCGTTCTTTTGAGTGGCTTGATGGCAGCGCAAACTGCAGCTGCGAAACGAATGGCTACGGAATCGCAGTTCAAAACGCGAACTCTCGACTACGCCCGAATCAGGACCGCTGGTGACCTGTCCGTTCAATGCTTGGACAAAACCGGGACGATCACAGAAGAAGGCTTGAATCTATGCGAGATCCAACCCATCGCGTCTGGAGGCGATCGCGGAGCGACGACTACGACGTTTTTCCGTCCTGGCGTGGTGGAAATGGGCGAAAAGCGCTCTAAGCGGTTACTTGAAGGTCCGAGGATTCTAGGAGAAACCGCGAAAACGGGACCATCTGAAAGCGACCGCTTACTTGAAATGGCTCTTTGCACCTGTCACACAGTGCAGAAGAACGAGCAAGGTGAACTTTTTGGGAATGGGGTAGAGGTTGAGATGTTCTCGTTTGCTTCTGGGCGACGTCGAAATGCTGGATCTGCACATGAAGAGGACACAGGTGAACGGATAGACTTCCGTTTGCGCAATGTCTTTGCTAATAATGGAGACGGGGGACGAGGTGATGACGGGAAGATAGATAGCAGCGGAAGTGCAAGCAGCATTGCTGGTGCTTCTTTCACCGAATACTTCTATGAAAATTCTACTCTTCCCTATACAGATCATCTTCAACAAGGTACAACTAGTGCTCAGAGGAGCTTTTCTGGTCGTGGTGGAGATCAGCAAGTGCTTTGTCGTACTCTGCGACAATTCGAATTCGATGCCTCAGTACAACTCCAGTCCGTCGTGGTGGAACCTAATCCGACAGACCTGCAGCACCTCCGGGTCTTTTGCAAGGGTTCGTTCGAGGCCGTCTCTCGCCGTTGTCTGCCCAGTACCATCCCCGAGGGCGCTGAGGAACTAACCCGGAAGCACTCTCTTCGTGGTTTCTACGTCATCGCAGTGGCAACCAAAGGTCTGGAAGTTCCAATCGGTGCGTCGTCGCCAGAGGTGCAGCTGCGGGACTCGTTCACGAGAGTCCAACAAATGCCGAGAGACGAAGTTGAGAAAGATCTCACATTCCTTGGTTTCCTCTACTTCTTGAACGAGATCAAACCAGATTCAAAAGCGGCTTTGTGCGAGTTGCGCCATGGAGGCATCCGCTTAGTCATGATAACTGGAGACAACCTATGGACCGGAGTTCAAGTAGGACTAAAAGCGGGCTTGTTGCCTGAGGATGCAGTAGTTTTGGCCGGGGAGATCACGATGCCGGACGAGGAAGGCCAGGGTCAGGGAGGTAACAATGACAAAGCACAACAAGAACAACAGCCTGAACAAGGACCACCTGGCACAATAACAGCACATCCACATGAAGATGGCGCCTTAAGCGACTATGAAGAGATGAGAGCGAATGCGAAGCATGCAAGTATTCATTTGTCGGAACACCACGAGCAGCCAAGCAGTATGGAAGAACAGGTAGAGGCAGCACAAGCTTTTGCGTCGATGGCGTCCTCCCATGATCTTGCAAACAAAGTCCGACATTTCTACAACGCTGGTCCTGGTGCTAGTTTAGGAGGTACAAATCATACAAATGCGAGAGCAAGTGCAGCCGAAACAAGTGCTCTGACTTCAAGGGGAAATGCAAATGCTTCCGTGATGTCTGCCTCTGGAAGAAGAAGTCAAGGTTTTTCTACAAGAGAGCAAGGGCTTTCTTCAACAAGAGAACTACACGAGGAACCTCCCACGATTCGCGGTGGCTACAGCCTACATTGGAACTTTGTGGATGAAGACCACACTGCGTATATGAAGCAGTTTGCCCAAGTGATTCGACCTTCAGCAGAGTCCTCGTATCCTGTGCGCGTTGGCTACTTTGGCGATCCTGCGTATCGGCATCGGCCCATTAACTCCCTGTTGCCGCATGATCAACATCATAGGACGAGCACCACGAGACAGGAACTTCTTAGCAGAAAAAGCCACCGTGCACAGCAGCAACAAGGCTCTTGTTCAGGAACAGCCAACCAAGACCTGCATTCTCGTGCTGAGGTGAAAACGTCAACAGGTGAACGCAAGCCCGTTTGCTTGGCTTTATCGGAAAATGCTTGGCTGTTTCTGAAGCAGGTGGATCCTCAACTTCTAGATCGGCTGCGCACTGACATTTGCATTTACGGGCGGATGACGCCTGGGGGCAAGGTCGACGTGATCAAAAGCCAGCAGTCTGATGGCAGTGTCGTGGGAATGTGCGGTGACGGTGGAAATGACTGTGCCGCTCTGAGACAAGCCCACTGTGGTTTAGCACTCTCCGCTGGTGCGAAATCCATGGTCGGAAGTTTCGTAACACCAAGCAGCAGTCTTTTTGCGTTGGCGGAGATTGTAAGGCAGGGCCGCTGTTGTTTGATGGTAAGTGTGAGTCTGTTTCAATTGGCGATTGTGTTAGGAGCATGCGCGGCAACGCAGCAAGTCGTGCAGGGTTTCTATTTCGGTCAACGAGCGTTTTGGGATATGACCTTGAACGATTTCTTACTAGGAACTATCATCGCGATTCAAGTCTGCATCGCGCAGCAGCCAAGGCAAGCCCATCCGGATCTGGAGGCGAAGAAGACGAAGGAAGATGCTATCGCGGAACGGGAAGAAGAACTTAGAGAGATGAAGATGATGAAACTGAATGGGAACAAAGCTGCAAATGAAGAAGATCCTCATAATATGTATAATGCTTTGCCAGCTGGCACCTCAGATGACCTTCCACAAGAAAGCGAAGAGGGTGAATACAAGCAGATCGGATCTTCGGACTTCGACGAACAGCTCGCAAAACTGCCCTCCGCCGAGGAGCTTCAAGAAAAACGAGCGAATCTTCCCCGTGGTTGCCTCTTGGCTACGCAGATGCCGAACGCGAATTTGACCAGTGTGCGACAGTTGTCTCTCGTAGTCTTGTGCGCCGTTTCGGTAGCTGGAATCGTTCTAGTGTTGGCTATCCTGATTCAACACCAGAGCCCTTCATGGGCAGCCACTTCCTTAGATGTGGATCTTCGTGAGCGCATGCACAAGTTACGAACTGGAGACACGAGTCTTTTGTACCAACTACGCCTAGAGCGCATGGAGAGTCCGTTTCGCCGTGACGTTTTCGTCAGCAGTATCAACTGGGTGATGTACCTGAGCGCACCTTTTCTCGCCACGAGTGCCTACTGCTACGACGCTGGACGATTTCGATCCTCTGTTACCCGAAATTGGGTGTGGTGGCTCTATTTGTTCCTATTTCTCGGGTTGCTTTCGGTGTTGTCCATGGGCAATCGTGGCTACAACGTGTGGCTGCGGCGCAACGTGGATAACCGAACGTTGTGGAAATTATGGGATTCAAGTCCAGCAGGGTGGTTGGAGGGCAGCGATCCTATTGACCCTGAAATCCGCTCAGACATGCACTGGTTTACTCGTGTGGACGTCGACCAAGGTCCACATTTGCTAAATTTGCAAGGATTTAACGTTGAGCACAGTGGGAGTTTGACCTTGAACTTAGGTGGAGGTGCTGGAGAACGATCAAATCCAAGAAAGGCACAGGCGACAACTTCAACACCAAATCCAAAGGCAGCACAACTACCGAAAGCACAAGCAAACGCACAAGCTTCATCGTTCATTGAGAAGACTCCTCAGCAGACTACATCTACTATTAAGGAACGAGACGACTATCTGGCGCGCGTGGACCCCGAAGGACGATCACGACGTGAGGGCTACCTCAGTGCCGCAAAATCCTTTGTACAGGGAACAACGTTGAAAGATGCGGCTCAGGTGACATTTTCCAACATGCGGGAAGCAGCTTCTAAGGCAGGAAGCTATCGTTTGCCCTCGACCCCATTGAAGTTGAACACACAAGTTGTGGCTCATGCCAAAATTGCAGGCGCGTTGATGGTTAGATTTGATGACATCGGAGCACAATTGGTTGAATATTTTGGCGGTAGTCAGAGTGGAGGAGAATCGCGTGGTGCGGGAACTACAACTACTCCTAAGCAAGCACCAGCTGCTAAGCAGGCGTCCCCAGTTGCTAAGCAGATACCTTCAGGGAACAACGCTCCACGTCAGGCGGGCACCTCTTTCGCAACGATCAGTTCCAAAGGCTTTCTAGAATTTGGAGCAGAAGTAGAGGGAGATGCTGAGGTTGATGATTTCCTCCAAGACCTTGATGTTGGCACCGATGAGGGAGTCGTGAGATCATATAACATGACAACTACTTCTTCTTCTGCTAGAAAAACGAGTATTTTATCCAGGAGCTCCACCGCCAGTACTTTCGTGCAACAAACGGAGCAACAGATGAAACAGGAATTCGCGACCTCGTCTTCAGCTCCTGCTACTACTACAGCATCTACTGCGTCTACTGCTTCACGTTCCTGGATTCGTTCCCAGCATGACTTGGTCGCCTATTTTTGTCAGGAGATGTGCGAAGCGACATGGAGCCATGGGTTTGACCAGTTTAGCAAAGCTGAAAGGAAGCTCGGTCATAATCGCTTCTATTGTTGGTGGGTTGCAGTGGAGCAACAAGAAGGGTCTTCTTCCTATTCTTGTACTTTGATTCCTCGCTTGGCGCACCGACGTCCCATGGGTCCGGAACATAAACACTTCATCAACAAAGTTCTGAGACCTGGCAGCCAGTACGGTCAGATGGTGGACCACATCTACGGACATGAAGTTCCGGACACGTATGCGCCATTAGTCCTAGTGCCGCAGAGTGTTCCTTTGATCGCGGGATCTGACGCGGCAGTACCTGTGCAACAGAAAGAGCATCAACTGAAGCATTCGCCGAAAAAAGGTTGCTCCTGTGGTTGTAGTGGAGAAATAGCCTCTGGTGGAGATGGTTCGGGGGAGGAAGAACTGTCGTCGAGAAGTCTTGCCCCAGGAGCTGGAAGTAAAGCTAAAGCAAAAGCTTCTCCTGCAACGTCGAGTCCTGCAACGGGCCCACCAGCTACGGGGTCTTTTATGGAAATGGAGGTTGAGTCATCTTCTGGCGGTTGCTGTGCCTGTGACGGTTCCCACAACACGAACATCGTTGCACCTCCCACACCTCCCGCACCAGGAGCTAGTATGACAACTTCGGCAGTCGGGCCTCCTGCTGCCGCTCTTTCCGCACCCGCGCGTCCCCCTGCCGTGGGCAGCAGCAAACCGCTTGCTTCTGTCTTCTACGTGAATCGGCACACGATGGGCGCGTGGCGTAGCTTAGAGCATCATGCACACAGACGCAGCACCAATGAAAAAGGATGGATCAAGCGTTCCGCTGAATATTTCCCGCGTTCAGATTTTCGTTCGGAAAACGACGTATCCTGGTTCCCAGCGGCCTATTCCAACTACCCTGGTCCGTGGTACCCAGAGTGGTTCGCGATCGTCCTTGCAGTGTTGGCAGGGTTCTCAGGAATATTGATCTTCTTCACGTTTTTGAGACTCAAGTCTTGAGTAGTTAGGTGGAAAACAGCATTTACGTCTTTAGAATGAGGTTTGAATTAGAAGTCTCAGATAGATACGCTCAGTCGTACACACACATAGGTACAGGCCGTTGACTTGGGAAAATTAGAACAGGTGACGGCATGATACACATACTTACACGCTCAGGCTCAGACTCGGTCATGAGGAACAGACTAGTGAATTACTACATTAGACAATTAGAATTATGATTGTGATTCTGGAGACGGACAACTATGATTAAGAGCCTGAACTAGAAGATAATCACATTTATTCCATCAGAGCTGAAAGGATAAGGAATCGCGTACTTATTTTCCTTCGCAAAGATGACAAAAAAGACACGGAAAACAGAGGTATCATTTTTTTGATCTGGCAATTGAGGAACAAGACCCCCAGTCTCTGGAGGTGCAACAAGCGGTTGGTATCGGAAAGCCGTCGTCCGTGGTGAAGAAATAAGTGCAGGTGTTGGTGTCAGAAAAATGTGGTGTGAAAATTTTCGTCATTATCATTTTTACGCTGGTGTCACTCATCCGGCGTGGTGGTCCACCGTGTATCATTGTGATCTGACGTCTGACTCATCATCGTCCTCCGACTAAGTAATTTCAGCGTTGACGATGACGCTGACGCACTTCTTGATGTCTTCTTTAGCATTGTGATGAACTTACCTCCGCAAGAACAGGGAGCTTAACAGTTGAGTAGTTGTTTAACCCTAAACCCTAGACCCGGCGGGGGCTAAACAACCGCAGCAATACGGGTGACGAGATGAAACTAGCCGATAGCTTCCTGCTTGTTGTAGTTACAGCTAAGTACGTCGTGTGAGTAGAGTGTAGTACTACTACTAGTGTGGTCTTGTTGGAGCTGCTGAGATAATCACGATAGGCCGCATAGGGGAAAACGCTCACTAAACTTTTTGTTGATGGTGCTTTGTCGTGGTTCAAGCATTCCCTCTTTTTACAAAGAGTTCTACAGTTAAAAGAAAGGTCAAAAAAGAACATGTGAGTCTGTGCTGTGTACTGTCTCTGCCCTCGTTGACGGCCAACAACCTTCACGTTACGAATGGCAGAGGATTCAACATCGGGAACTTCCGTATTTGTTACGAAGAAAAACGCGGGAGAAGGAGCAAGTTGGCCCTGTTTCGCACGCCTGGTTGTGCTACGCGTTTATTTTAACAAACAAGGAGCGACGAGTCCGCGGAGCTTCTTGTAGGGACGACAGGACTACTGCGTACTACAACATCAAGAGTCCTCTGCCCCTTCTCCACTATCCAAACCACGACAACGACTACCACGACTTCATTATCAAAAACAACAATCTGTCATCATGGTCGCGGCCTCGAAGAATCCCTGTGATCCTCGGAAGCTGATCGAGTCGGTCGCAGATGTTCTTGCGGCAGCTCAGATCGACTTCGCGCAGCAGCTGAAACAGCAGAGTCATCAACTGTCGAAATCAATAACCTCGGATCAGAATAAAGATAAACTACAGGTAGGAGCCTTATTTTCTACAGATGGTAGAAGGATGTTCTCTTTCAAGAGTTTGTCTGGAAGATGCATGGTGATGTCGTGCTGGTAAGACTTACTGGGCTACTACCTCTACTTGTTTCATTGACATGAAGATTATGATTACTCACATGATTTACAAGTGCATTCTTTTTGAGGTTTTCTATTGCTAATTTAAAAAGTTGAGTTGTAGTTATGAATGGTTCTGGTATTTTTGGTATAGCCTGAATTTGATCCTAAGGGAAAACAAGAAGAGAACCATTCAGGTTACCAAATTCAGGCTATACCAAAAATACCAGAACCATACAAGTTATAAGTACAGTTCATCCCTACTAGTACAACTTGTAAAAAACACAGAATTGGGTCGATGCTGTGCGATGTCTTCAAAGCATAAGTACCGCATACGTCTCGACAGTAGATGACGACGCGGTGGTTATTGGAGGCGCTGGGCCTGCGAATGTGGGTGGCGGGGGGCGAGGCTGGCTTTTCGATATGGAGAGGAGTAGACTCCCTGGCACACGACCGCACACCGTGACCCACGACGATGAAACGTATGCATCGGATGCGATCAGTACACAGGTAAGATAATATTAATGTCTTTCTTCTAGTTGATGTAGTGAGATTGATCTATTTGATAAGTGTCGTGGTCGTCCTTACCCTTGAGTTGTTGTTGTTGTGTGTACGTGGACCTCTACATGGTGTCGTCCTCACCCCTGAGAAGTTGTTGTGTCAGTGTACGTGGACCACTACGAGGACATGTACACCTACACCCCCAGGTCCACAGCCTGGTCGGTCATGTTTGCAATAGTAAGCAGGAAGTGTCTGACAACGAGCTGCACAGTCGCGTGGATGCGATTTTAGCGGAGACCCTAGGTTGGCAAGCGCCAAGTGCATTCGCTTGGTCCGACGAGGCAGGAGCGGGAGGAGCGAGTTTGACAAAGCGAATGTCGTCCGCCCCTACAGTCCCACGAACGTCGACTGGCGAAGAGGAGGATCGAGATATAGACATCGACAATGATTATGGCTACCGCTCCTGGAGCATCTCCCCAATATCATGATCCTTGGATGTTCTTCTTTTTCTACCTGAAAATTATGAAGCCAAGGATGCTCTTAGGGATGCGACAGCGATAGCTCTAAAGTGAAGACCTAGAGGATGACGATCCGGACTTGGCATCCATTGCGGGGACTGCTATTTACTTATGCTCTCCTTGATGAGAATGAGACTTCATTCTGTTTCTGTGATATATCGAAGATCTACTCGTCGTTGCCATTTCTCTTTGAAAACGACATAGAATAATTTATGTAGAAGTTCGTTGTAAATCTAAATGTTTGTTCTGATGAAAAACGATTAGTACTAAGCAGACGCAGTACTCCTGGAGCTGCACGTAAGCAGTTATGCATCTTCTAATTTCCAAAAGGCAGCAACAGATAGGCGGGTCATCCTCGAGCACAAGTGGTAGTATGTCGAAGAAGCGAGGACGCAAGGATCAGGAAGGCAATCTCTCCTCTCAGCCATCGCAACTACCCAATGGGCACTATACTTATGGCTCCCCTTCAGCCTCAACCTTATCTTGAGAGACGTCCTGACAACTGTAGAGGGTTCCCAAGAGAAATAACGGCGCCCAGGAAGATGGATCTCAAATCGGATGATGTATCTCAAATCGGATGATGCATCTCAAGCGAACTCTAATATACACAGCGAAGGAGGCGCATCGATGGAACCACGTATGAGACAGAAGAAGACGAATACAAGGATGACGAGGATCCGGGGTATAGGCTATTGCCGCTGACAGAACAGCAGCTGATGGAAGAGCTGAAACATATTATGTGTGGTTTACACCAATTAGGTGAAGCTATCGTGAATTCAAAGTGCAAATACGAGAGCGAGATTGAGATAAGTTTCAGTACTATTACTACTTCATTCAGTACTACTTCATGCGTTATGAATGTGAAAGTGAATCTCGATACAACTATGATAAATATTTGTTCTCAAGAAATATTAGAAGATGCAACTTTATTTTTCATGATGTGTGGAGTTGGAGATAAGGAATTGCTACTCTTCATACCATAATTGAACAGGACCTCTGCTCTCTAACTTCCGTGAACCATACAGCAAGCTTCCTGGGGAGCTGGATCCGATACCAAGCCCACCAGATACCGAAGACGATAGCAAAGAAGAAGGAGAGTCAAGTTTGTTATGCATCACATGACATCGTTTCGGTGTAGTTGGTGATAATTTCAAGTTGACATTTAATTGTTGTGGTTAAAAACAAGATTTACTATGTTGCTACTTTTCATAGCATAAATATAACTACTTATGTGTTGGTACTTTTCATAGCATATTATGACACCGCTAACAATAGCCTCAGACCCTACCTTAGGTAGAAGAAAGCGTGGTGGCAAGGTGCGCAAGTTGCCCTGGGTAGACAAGATGAGGTCTGCTGGGAAGAAAAAGAGACGACTAGCGAAAGGCGTAAAGCATAGCATTTCCAACGACGAATTCTATCCAGTGGAAATGAATGGGACTGTGTACTTCTACCGATGTTATATCTCTAGTTGTGCTCCGGCAAGCTGTATGAAGGTAACGACCATTGGATTTTCGATCTGGAATCAGTTGGATACAACATTCATCATGATCATCCTCATTTTCATTACCTATGATCAACAATCTGAAACAATATCAATCTCACAGTTTCGACTGCTTCCACCTCCGTGTGGTCTTTGAGCGGCAGAGGACAGGTTTCGAGGAGACCAAGGAGTTCAAGGTGGAGATGGGACAGATCATCGCAGCGCGTTATCAGGTGGTCGAATTCCTAGGTGCCGCCGCGTTCAGTCGTGCTGTCCAGTGTCATGATTTGGAGACGAACAGGATGGTTTGCTTGAAGATTATCAAAAACGACAAGGACTTTGTGGACCAGAGCTTAGACGAGATCAAGCTGCTCAGTTTCATTAACATCAACTGTGAAGTTATGGCATCAAGAAGGTTTGGATGTAGCTTACTCAGCTTTAGACTACTGTATTAAACTTTAACACGAAAATTATTTAGCTTGAGTAGAAGATTTCGAAGTTGTACTTGTACTAGAGATAGAGAGCCACGTGGTCATAAAAGGTCTTGCTCACTAATGGCACAGCCGAGCTCCATCGACTCCCTCTCTCGATTTGGCACTCTCGTCTCTTTCAGTCAAAAGTTTTTCTACCACTTTCCCGCTATCTCGTTCGCCCTCTCCTCTTCTCATCTTACTCATCCTCCCCCATTGTTCCCCTCTCCCCAACATCTGCTTCAACTACCCTCCTTCATGTGACACGCAGACGAGAAGAACGTTTTACGCTTGATCGACTTCTTCTATCACAAGGAGCACTTAGTCCTGGTCACGGAGCTGCTGAAAGACAATCTCTACGAGTTTTCGAAGTTCAATAGGGAACAAGAGCCAGACAAAATCTATTTCAACAAGAGAAATCTTCAAGCAGTTTCGCGAGAAATCCTCGTTGCGCTCGAATACATACACAGCCTCAACCTGATACATTGTACTGCTTCATGATGATCATGTCGATGCGAAGACTTGAAGATGTTTGGTTACATCATCTTCTTGTTCTTCAATCATTTCATTCAAAATTCAATACAGGTTAGTCAAAATTCACACAATTTGGATATGGCGACAATTGTAAAAAGTTCTTTATGATTTACTAGGCCTTATTCTTATTGTACTACATTTTTGGGGCTAGCGTCTACCCCTCCAACATCCTCGTTTCTCAAATTGGACTTACATTCCTCAGTGTCAGTCATCACTGCACTCGTCCCCCTATCAGGTGACTTGAAGCCAGAAAATATCCTGATGAAAAGTTACAGCCGTTGTGAGGTAAAGGTGATCGACTTTGGAAGCAGTTGCTTTATCGATGACCACCTTTCTTCCTACGTGCAATCCAGAAGCTATCGGGCGCCGGAAGTTATCCTCGGATGCCCGTACTTAGTTCTTGTTTTTTGTTAAATACGTATGCCAACAGAGCGGAAGGGGCCGGGTGGCTGCGTAATGGTCAGAGCCCACGCGCAGGGCTTGCGAAGTGCTGGGGTAGGAACCCACTGCGCGGGCGCGGTGCACAGGGCCAACACAATCGGAGCGCCGCCGAAGGTCAGCGGCGGGCTTATGGAGACACCGGGCGCAGGCAGATGGCCTGCGCCGCGGTCGTGCATCTTGTTCCCGCGATAGCTGGGGGAAAAGAGATGCGGGGGAGGCCCACGGAGATAACCTCGGGCTTGAGAGAGTGGGGCCGGAAGTTTATGACAGACAGGCAAAGCCGCGTAGTCCCGGACTAGTCCCGAGCGGTACGCATGTAGCGCCGCTGCAACCGATCCCCCTGCATCCAGATCCCACGTGGACGCAGGACCACAACGCGACCGCGGCACAGTGCGGGCCTAGCCCTTTTACCCAGCAGCAAGTAGCACCGCCCGGCTTTACGAGCGCCAGCGCCTCCTGGCGCCGCTCTCATCTCGCTCGTGAACGCGAGCGCGGATGTCGCGCTTGACAGTATCAGCGAAAAGGGATTGGCTGGACAAATGGCGTGGGCGTGGCCGAGTGCCGCAGTTTCGAAGAAGTTGGACAGTCATGCGTCGTTTGCCATGTACTGGCTCAGCAATCAGGCGGACGCGCGCCCGGCCAACGTTTTGGTTAAAATCTGGCTAAAAAAGTCGGCTTTTTGGGATCGCGGGGCGCCTGCCCTGGGCCGTTGTGTGTCTGCTTCGTTTCTGGGGTTTTTCTGCCTTTCTCTTGTTGTTTTGTTGGTATATTTGCGAGCGATAGGGGGAATGCTTCCGAGTATGGCTCTTTTCTGCTATTTACAGAGGGTTCGCGGATCTTGAAATCTGCGGCAGCAGATCAAAAAAGACGACCGAAAAAGTCCCCGGGTTTTTTCGGTCGTTTTTTTCGATCGGTTCCGGTTCTGTATGCTTACTTTGGCTGAGTGGCTCGGCTCGGGGGTGCATGTCTTAGGGGTCTCGGTTGGAGGGGGTGCGTTGCTGAAGGTGGTCAGGGTGACGATGGGCCATCGGTCTTCGGGTATGATGCTTCTAGTCTCCTGGGTGTTTTCGTGCTGCTTTTCAGTGGGTTAGGTTTGTTTGTGTTTGGTTTTCAATTTCATTTAGTAACTTCTTTATCTATCCTAGTCTTATATATGTGTTATGCGGTGGGTATTGTAAGTATATGGTAGGTTTTTTTTGATGTGCTTTTCTTGTGTTTCAAAATCTACAAAGATATACAGAGAAAAACAAACTCATGCTCACAACCAACACGAACAGATATGACCAGAAGATCGACATTTGGTCTCTGGGGTGCATTTTGGCAGAACTATGGACGGGATATGTGCTTTTCCAGAATGATAGCGTTCATGCGCTTCTTGCGCGAGTGTTGTTATGGCCACAGGCACAGGAGCTTGCGCTACTTTTTAAATCATTCAAATATAATTCAGATTGATTGTTCTGCCCATGGGAGAATATGGATAAATATTCTACCTTGTTGCAACTTGTCAACAGATTCGTGTCATCAAGCTTCACTGTGATTACGGAGGGCAGCGTGATATTCTCTTATCGTGAACAGAGTTGGGTTCGATTCGTTCTTTTTAAAAACGCGATCGCCATCTTGTCAAGATCAAGATCGAAGACCTTCCGCAGAAATCAGAATCTTTTACTTCAGCGACTTTGTTTATATAGTTGGTTCTCCACCTATCATCCTCCACCTATCCTTGTCCGACGTCTTCTAAACTCCGGAATCATGGGTCGCCTACCGTTTCACGTGATGGCTTCAGGGAAACACGTTCCTACCTTCTTTACGCAAGACGGCCGTCTCTATCAAGAGGAAGGGAATAAACCGGGCGACCCCGAAGGCCTCAAGCGGTTATCGCTGCTCATTCCGAAACGCACTACGTTGGGCCATCGATTGTCGTACTACTTAATTTCAATGATAGGACGATGGATTTTTAAACACGCTGTGAAGGTAAAACGAGGAGTGCAGCTCCAAGTATGATAAGTACCTCAGAATGAACACGATTTTTTGAATTTATAGAATAGCAATTGTTGATATTCCCCTGCTCCCGACAGCTTACCCGAGGGCGACCCATTGCTGGATTTCATCGGATGCATGCTGAACCTGGATCCCACGCGCCGTCCATCCGCAACAGAATGCCTCCAGCACCCTTTCTTAACGGACACCGCATACCAGGAGGATAACTGAGATGGTTTTCTTTGCTTTATTTATGGCGGGTCGTGCCGAAAAACGCACACAGTCCTAGCGGTGAGGGTATGCGCGTGATGGGCGACTGATTGGTGGGGGGTCTTCATACATCGCTCTCGGATCCATTCCTCCACTTCGAAAATAGAATTACCAGAAACACTAGACGGACTTTCTTGGCGATGTGTAAACAACAATCTGAATCTAAGAAGTGGCTACCAGCATGGATCCTCTTGATCGGATTCATCAAGATCAAGACAACGTAAATGATTCCTTTGAGTACGTTACTTCAAGTACTACTAGAGAAATGACGATAAGAGTTTGTGATTGTGTCGAGCAAAAACGCACCTGCGACCTGAGTTTTTGCGAGCGAAGACCGAGAGACAGGAGACAGGCTTGATTTCATTGTGAAAAATGAACGCCAATACATAGTACTCTGATGCAACAACATGCTCGACCATCAAAATTTTTCAAAAAAGGCGATTACGACGCTTAACGAAAAATGCTGCGCAGTTACGGAGAGAAGTAAAGATAAGCCTCTACAATTTCAACTAGCAACCAAAAATCAAAATCGTCTTCCTCTATTCCTTGAAACATCAAAGCGAAAATTGATATGTCGCAGCTCATCCTCGGGACGCTCTTTGTGGCACACGCCACATGCTCCGTGAGCATGGTTTTGTTTAACAAGACCTTGGCCATGGGCTTCGATTATCCGTGGACTGTGGTCTTCATCCAAAACATCGGAACCATTTTTCTCGGCTTTCTTTGGCCACTATGCTTCGGAAAAGAGGAATTGAAAGTGAGCGCGGATGCGGCTGGAGGTATTTGGGCATTTAATGTTCTTACTTATCATGATTCTTGAATGTTAGTTGTAGCAACGCATATCTATGGGCACGATAGCAATTTTTTTGATGTTGATCCATCCTGGTATAACGTCATTCAAGCCTTCCCTCCATCGCTAGATTTGATGTCAAATCATGCAGCCAAACAAGCTTTATTGGTAGTGATATTTATCCTTTATCCCATCTTTCTAAAATCCAGGCGAACGACGAAAGATCTGTGGGCTCGTTGTGCCCTCAGCGTGGAAGAATAAGATGTGGGTTGTGGCCCAAACTATGTTCTTCGTCGGGACTTTATATTTCTCCTTGAAGGCCTTGCGGTTCATGTCTGTTCCACTCTACGTGGTAGCACGCAACACAGTGCCTGCAGCAACAGCGCTGGTCGAGCGAGCCTTCACGGGAACACCGATAAATTTCGTACCTGGAATTGGGTTGCTGTGTACTGTCATAGGAGCAGTCCTGTATACAGCTGGAGACATGGCGCCTGCGACGACAGGTGGTTGTATGACAGGACATGATTCAATTTTTCCCGTGCTTGAGTTTCCAACCTCTAGTACTTGATCTTCATTACGTCTCACAAACTTGATATAATCCTCGCTCCTGATCAACTACAGAAGTATGTCGTGATTGTTCTGCTTAAGATAAAGACGTCTAATATATGGCGATCAGGATCATCAACAATCCTTCTGATCCGACATGATCATCTCAAGTTACGTCATCTTTTTTTCGTCTAATATCCCGAATCGTGCTCCAGCTCCTGTGATCGAGAGCAGCGGACTTGCATACGCTGTTTTGCTTGTCGTAATCGTCGCTGCTTGTTCCGTAGTGGATAAGACTGCGATTTTCTACTTGAAGAAGGAAGAAGGCATCAGTCCTGTGGAGTCAAATCAAAACCGCTGCTTTCTGTCACTCCCGGTCAACATTTTGCTGATTCTAACACTAGAGCTGTACAAGGAAAATGTAGTGAAGGCAGGACGCAGGCTCCTATCTGCAATGTTGGGATTAGAAGATGATTTTTGCGAAGGAGATGAAGTAGAGAGCCAACATCTTCTTGCAACAACACCTCCGACGCTTGCTTCCACTTCGTCATCAGGAGAAATCTTGGCATCAACTTCCTCATCTTCATCATCATGGAGGCAACAAAACTCAGGCTTAACATCGGCAATTAGTTCACAGCCCATACCTTCCACATCCTCAATTTTAGTCTCTCCATCCTCTTCTTCCGCTCTCTTAGCGTCAACACACCTTTTTGCGGATGCCACGCCAGAAGCAAGCAGCTCCAATTTAAGGCTCTGTACTAGTAAAGGTCTATTCAGAATATCAAAGTAATGTCTACTAGCGCTCCCCTAAATTTTTACATTGATGAGAAATCAAACCGGAAGAAAATAGTGCCGCAAAAAAAATCAAACTGCATGCCACATGCCAAATAATGTCTTTCCTTCCAACCTCATCATCTTCTAATTTCGCGCTTCCTAACCTCTTCGAGCGACGAACTACACCAAAGCTTGCCACCACTTCTAGAAAGCTTTATAAACGACATGCATGGTCCAATGCTAGTGGCTCTTCTCCTATCAACCTTCTTCGGTTTTGGCATCGGAACTTTCAACTTCATTTATGGTCTTGGTTGTAAAGCATACAAGCGAAGTAATGAACCTAAAACTGAATGATCACATATGGAAGTTGATGTCAAGAAGTGGTCATCTTCGTGTTTATTTTCATACGGGCACTACGGACAGTGTCATCAGAGGCACATACATGACATGTGTTTATTTTCATACTCCCTGGATGAATCTCTGGTGTCCCTCCACGTTCACCCAAAATACCCATTCGCATTCTAAAATACGCTACAGCAAAAAGTTACAGCTGCGACGGTGCAGGTAGCGAACATCTTCTACAAGTTGATGACGACGATCTTGTCAAGGGCTACACATCCGACACCCGTTTCGTTAAGACAGCAGACAAGAACTGTGGTTACTCAACACACACATCGTTACACCGGTATTTTAGCGCTCCTCCGGAGTTACTAGATTACTGGTTGGCCTCGCAAGTAGACGCTAATAGCTACACAAGAGGCACCATGACATGACATGACATAGCATGGCTCTGGTATTTTTGGTATAGCCTGAATTTGATCCTAAGGGTTCTCTTCTTGTTTTCAACTGCTTCTTGTTTTAAGAGAACTCACTCTAACTTCCACCGCTTCTTGGTTTGGTATAGCCTGAATTTGATCCTAAGGGTTCTCTTCTTGTTTTCCCTTATGATCAAATTCAGGCTATACCAAAAATACCGGAACCACTCATGTTTCTCGATGCCTCCTCATCCTTCTTCTTCATTGACTTTTGCTGTTGTAGCACTATGATACTTCTTAACTTCCTCTTCTTAGTTGGGGAACAAGCAAAAGCAAGAACTCACTCTAACACCCACCGCTTCTTGGTGTGGTTTTGCCGTTTCCCTAGCTGGCGTTGGTTTGTACACTTTCGGAAATCAAATTACCACTTGGTGCTATGGAGAAAGCAACACGACTGGTGGCGTGGATTCACCCGCAAACGCAAAATCTGGTGGAGCTGACTCACAGACGTCCCCAACGTCTGGTGCGAAAAGTTTTCAAGCCGGTGCGGGAACATCTTCCAAGACCGCTGGCGGGACAATAGAGATGGGAATAAAATTAAGGGTAGGTTACAGGTGCTCTTCTTACCGCTTTTTATGCCTCTCCTAAGGGAGAAAGGCATAACAAGCGGGGTAAACGAGCACCAAAAGCCTACCTCTAATAAAAGGAGCTTCGAGCAGTTCGACGTCTGATTTGAAGCCGCTGACAGAGGTGAATATCGAGGATGATTTCGATTCCTCCGATGAGATATCTTCCAGTTCAAGGCGTGATTTGGAAGCGCAGATTGGGAAGAGCAAATATCTAGAATAGCGACGACTTTGGCATCAGGTTCTTGGGTAGAGGTCGTGCAGATGATGGATAGGGTGGGATACTGGGATTTGCGATCAGGTTGGGTTGAGGTCGTGCAGATGATGGATAGGGTGGGAGACAACTGGGAAGATGTTTCATCCTTCCTCTGCCATTCTATTGAACGCACAATGGTGATGATGGATATTCACTAGAGATGCACACATTACATGCTACGACTGGAACGCAGAGTGTGTCCTCGTCATGGCTAGAAGAACTTTGAAAGACGACGAGAAATAGAGGAGCAATTTTTGTCAACACAGGAAACGTAGTGAAGATCATTGACCTTGACGTCACACTGACTAGTATGCAATGATGTCGATCAAGGACATACTGGCGACAACACTTATGCGTGCGTACTCACGTTCGCCCTCGACGTCGACGGATGCAATGCCTTGCATTGAATCACCAAGAATAGATGAACATGCCGAATTGATGGCGGTCAACAATCACAAACGAGAAAGAGTGTTCCTGTAACGTGGAATAGATGTTTCGGCAGAAGAAGTTGTTGTATCTACTATATAATGTGATGATTGATGAAGGATGACGTTGAGTCGTCTAGATCCACAAGTAGACTGTTGTTGCTTATCATGCACTTTGGTTGTTAATCTAAATTTTTGTCACTGATAATTAAGAAGATAATTAAAGATGACAGTAGTACCGAATTCTGGTGCTGCAGGTGGTGGCGATCATCCCGAACCCGCAAATTTCAACGAAGCCCACCAAGAAGACCCTAAGATTGCTGTACAGCCAGGACCAACTATCAACGCAACTTCTTCATCTAGTTCAACGCTTATGGAGGTTGAACGAGATCACAAGAACACGGAATCCTCTCGACCAATCGTCTTTCTGGACATCACTTTAGGCGGAAATGCAGCCGGAACCTTGGAGATCGAGCTTTTTTCCGATATTGTTCCTAGAACAGCCGAGAACTTCCGCTGCCTCTGCACAGGAGAGCGTGGGGTTGGTCGGGTCTATGGTCGTGGTCTGCACTACATGAACTGCGCATTTTTGAGGGTTTGTCCAAGAACCTTCTGCCAAACAGGGGATATAGTGGAGCACAACGGGACAGCTGGCGAGAGTATCTATGGGGAATACTTTGCGGACGAAAATTTTGAATTGAAACACGAACGAGGCTCACTAAGTATGGCGAATTGCGGAAGGAAAGATAGTAATGGTACTATCGCCTACTTGAGTGAAAAGGACAAGGAACGCTTAGTTGTATATACGCCCACAACTTTCTCAACATCTGCTCCTCCTCGTCGTAGAAGTACAAATAGAGAGAGAGTCCTCCTTTTTTTTCCCACTACAACAGCTGCAGCTCTACCGATACCATGGTACAAATCTCAAAATTCCACAGGTTCTCAATTCTTCATTTGTTTCGATCGTCTTCCGGATTTGGACGGCAAGTATGTAGTTTTTGGAAAAGTATTGCCTCACACGCTTGAGACCCTGGAGGCGATACGGGATACAGGTAGCGAAGTAGGACACACGAGTGAGCCGGCCGTAATATCGATGTGTGGACAGCTTGCATAGTTAGAGGTGGTTCCGAGAATTTTTTCTTGGTAAAAATGTGAATTATTTACTAAGCGGACTGCTACAACTGGTACTGACTTGATTCATTTTTTCACAGAACTCTGACTGTTTACATCATTTCTACTTTGAGAATATAGAATCCATCACACCCTTTATTCCATGAGGCAGAAGAGCGTTTCCTCGTCTTTGCGTGCACATGACTGCACTGGTAGTTGTTCCAGTCATTTTCCTTGTTCCGTGGAGAGCACTAGCATCCCGATAGTGCTGTATCTATACATTTAAAAATGGATTAGATGAAGCTACGGCAGCTTACATGATCAAGGAATAACGATGACAATGAACCTTCTCCACATGAATAATCAATTCTTTTTTTTGTAGGCTCCTGTGGATCTGCTTCCATCTCTCGAGCCTGGGGTCGTAGGTTGTAGCTACAAGAACATCTGGTACACGTGAACTCTTTCATCAGCAGAGGATGTCGTGATGGGTGGATGGGTGGAGAGCGATGATGTGCAAGTATAGGCTTACGCAGATGTTGTTACTCAACCTAGGCCCAGAATTCTTTGCTTTAGGGGGTATTTGTGCAGCTAGTCGTGAAGGTTCAACTGAAAAGAGAAAGTATGTCCACGACAAATACGCACAGTGCATCTACCTTTGGTTCCTCTGAATTTTTTAGCTCTCTCCTGACAGACAAAAATGATGCAATCCTCAAAGCGGTTTTTTCAGCGTCCTCCTTTTCGTCGACTGCAGATGATGGGACGGAAAGGAGGGAGACTAGTAGCTCTAGCAGCAGTAGTAGAAGGAGACCTCTACGAGGACTACGAACGCCGGCAGTGGCGGACGAGGTTCAGTCCAGCTCGATCGGTAAAAATCGTGGAGTTAAAATCGAGGCCTCGCGGGTGCCGTCTATCCGCTCCGAGCCACCACGGACCGGGGGTTTTTTATCCATCTGCGACACGTCCACCATCGTTCCGTACGGATGTAGTGGAGCAAAGACGTACTTCACGCCGACCAGCGGACAACTAGGTAGCACTACTAGCAGCGGATTTGGACCACTATGTGGTTTCAATGATATACTTCAAACTTCCTATTTCGACTACTGGCAGATACAGCAGCGGCGAGCAACGGAATTGCTGAGGGACGCGTGCGCCGTTTATTTGAAGCCTTGGGTAGATAGGATTTGCGAAGGTGCGGAAACTCGAGTGGATAAACAAGTAGAAGTGGGAAATTCTTCTGCATCGTCATCACCATCTTCTTCTATTCTGTCAAACAAAGTAGAAGTTCAAGTTTTTTCAGCATGGTTTGAAAAGTGGACCTCCCAACGCCTTCCTGAGAACCTTAAGCTTCGACTTCAAGACTTCTTCACCAAGTCACAAGTAGCCTATTCGCACATCTTCACCTACTGGGAAGAGGTTAGGTCGTTATTCACTACAAAAGCTTTGGAGTATCCGAACGCGATCCACGCACTAGGCTTCTGTTTACTTGGGTGCTCTGGTCTCTGGCTCTACATGGCTAGGCGGAGACTGAGAGACGCAGAGGCTCTAGCATGTGAGGAACTACCATTTACGCCATTGGAAAACTTACCAGCGATACTGTCATCTTCGCAGTCGTCATCTTCTAGTGGTCGACTCATCCCAGAACAAGAGATTGCAAGCAAGAGGCATGCTGGGCACTGTGCAGAAGATCCATCAGAACTGCCAACCTCTAGTCCGAGTCGGATGTTAGTCAAAGTGCGTGGCAAATTACTGCCAGAAGAAGAATTACGTGGACCTCTAACCGGAGCGCCTTGCGTCCTCTACGATGCGCATTCCGTGTTCTACCCTTGGTTTCTAGGTCGCGAGCGTCGCTGCCTAGAACTCTGCGAGTTGGTTCCTAGAGATAGTGATGCAGCTCGTGCTGGGTCGTCAACGACGTCGTCTTGTGGTCTTACGACTGGCAGAGTGTTCGTCTCTGGCTTACTTTTACGTGGTCGCTACAGTATTTTTCGATTGGAAGACGCAAAGCCTCTAGTCGGACTCGTCCAGAACTACCAGTCTTCAACAACAGCAACTACATCGAGCAGAAGCCACGACATCTTCAACTACAAACCACCATCAGTACTAGAGCAAATCCTTCGTCGCTGCACCCCACTGTGGTTCTGGGACACCGCGAGAACGAGATTTTTGACAACATTGCCTTTCAGTTTGGGGCTCAAAAGAGAGAGGATACTACGGAGCGAAGAGGAGGTGGTGATAATGGCGGAAGCGAGTCTAGAGAGGATTCCATTGCCGGCAGATGATAACGAGATGGAGAGGTGGGCTAGTTCACCCTCTAGTACATCTTTCAACAGCTGCGTTAGGAGTAGACCTCTGCAACATGGAGGTAGTAATTCGCAACCACGTGCATTCGCAACGTGTGTAGTCCTTCGGCCACCACAAGGCATGCTCCGTTCTGGGAGTACGATGGATGATACCAAGGGTAGTGCGCAGCTAATGCTCTCCGGTTCATCAGCACGCAGAGACAAAAGCTCCTCGTCATCTTCATGTAATACTAGAGCTGCTGGAGATGATACAGCTAGCACTTCTCAGGAGCATAACAAGCGTTTGCGGATAGTGGCGCGAAACTTGCGAACATCACTGTTAGCATCTTGGGTGTGCATCCTGATTCCAACGTGCCTTCTAGACGTAGCGAAAGGTCTTGTTTCGAGTCTTGTATGCCTCTACGCCGCATCGTCTATTTCGTCCTTCTTGAAACGGCAGGAGAGTCTTGGCCATGATACGGAAGTAGAAGAGCAGCATCAATCTTGTTCTGAGAGCAAAAATAAGAATAGTGGTTTCTTTGGAGCTGGAGGTCTATTGAACTTTTGGCAGCGAAGTCAACCTCAGCCATCTTCCCTCCATTCATCATCCTCTCCCCGTGAGAACAACGAGGAAGACGACATCACGCGATGGTTGAAGGCTCGTGCTGTGACCTTTTTTATGTCAAATTTCGACGCTGATGAGCTTTGCCAAGTCTGGAGACGGAGAGGCAGATCCTATGTCGCATTAGGCGGTGTTTTCTACCTCAGTGGGTTCGGCTTGTTGGCAGCAAGGCATTTGGCGCTGCATGGTAGGAGAGCGGCATCGGACGTGCTGAAATGGGTTTTGGCGCAGGCGATTGGAGGGTCATTTTTACTAGCTTGGCTGCGCGAAGAGGAATTGAGAAGAAAGGAACACAAATTCTCCTTGTTTAGAGCGGCATTTGGGAACAACACGACTCGGAACAGTCAACTGCCTGTCATCTATGATCCTTCGCAGCCTCTGAAAAATTCTACAGTTCCACCAGATAGTTTCGGTCGTAGTATAGCGACTGCGACGCCATCGCCAACAACGACCTCACCCTGGAATGTAGCTCCTTTTGACGATCATCTAAACCAATCCCGAGGTGCGACTGGGGCCACGACTAAAGCAGGCCTAAAGTTTGTTAGCAGCGTTCCTCCAGGTGGGGCAGGAGCTTCGACTACAACAACTTCTTCGACTGGTGGTACAGGACCGAATGCGCATTCTAATCAAGTGTTCTCCTCGTCCCACGACCACGCCCCTACACGCGACACCGATTTCCTAAGTGCCTATAGTGGTAGCGCTCGTGGGAGTTTGAGCGGTACGAGTTCCTTTTTCGATGACGCCGCTTCGAGTTCGGGACGGACGCGATTGAGTTGGTGTACCGTAAACTCAGACGGTGAGCCAGATGTGCTTGGAGGGAACGGGTCGGGTGCAAATTCTTCGTCCAACATTGCTGCTGCCCTAATGCAAGATTCCTCCCAAGATGACGACATCGACATGGGTAATGCTGGTGACCGCGCAAGTAACCTCACTAGAAGCAAGAATCATGTTCCCAAAGTTGCTGTGCCCGCTTTCCAACACTTCAATTGACACCTTGGTATCACGCCCAAAAACCTTGCCCACTTATACATTCATGCGCATTTTCCTGTTTCATTGCTAAGTTGTAAGTAAGTACTTGTTCTTATTCTTTAATCACATAGAAGAAGTTTCGATCGACGCAAAAGAACCTGAAAGAAAGAAACTTTAGCTTTGACGAACAGGACGAGTTCTTCAACACATTGTTCTGCGTGTAAAAGTTCTTTCAACTACTACGTCACAACCGTAATCTTGTAAATGTACGTAACTCGTCTCGGGATGGAGTGCAAGTATACGAACGAGATCGAGATTTTTAGAGCGAAATAGGAGCATCATCGAGTGCGTTATCTGATTTGTCGGTCGTTCGTCGAAGATGTAGGAATGAATCTTGTCTCTCAACATCTGTCGTGGTGCATGCCACCGTTCGCGTAAGTCAACAGGAGCCATCCTCTCGTCCCTTTTGATAAGGATAAGGATTTTGCCCTCATTCACACGACCTCGCTCGCCCACCCGTTATGACCCCCATCTTCTGGTTGAGAAATTTATACACACGAACCTCGAGTCTAAGTATGCAGACATCGGCTATGTCAGTGTTTTGTAAGTGCTAGAGTTTTGATATACGTCCCCACTTTTCTAGACTGTAGCTATTGATGTTATTTTCACTTTCTAATACTAGTATCTAAATCTAACTACGTTACTTCTGAAAGGAATGGCAATGGTCATGATGATGTTGACAATGTCGCTATCGTGACAATATCCATCCCCCTCGCCACCTATCATCTCCAAATAATATCAAACATTAATGTTCCATAGCAGTCTTAGTTAGGGATACAACATCTTGTAGTAAAAGGAGAATCAACTGAGTCTACTACAAGATGGCAGCTGCCGAGAAGGAACCGCCCTTCTGTGGGGTATGGATCGAATTGGAACGGTGTGTGGATTGTCACACCCACGAACACTGCACCAGACACGTAGAGGCGAAATACGACGACTATGAGAAAAGGTTGTCGGATTTGCTCGACACGAAAGTCCCGAAAGGGATGCCTTATAAGGTAGTGGATCTTGATAAAAGAAGATCCAGTAGAGTGTAACTAGTAGATAGAAGTACCTCACAGTTCTAGAAGTTGTTAGATTCTTTTATGATTTCATCATCTCCATACACCTCCATTTTTTTACAACAGTTCGTCAGAAATCCCGGCCCGAAATCGCATGGTGTCAACTGTAAGAAATCCGAGTACAACCCGTATCTCTACGCCGCGTATGCCCAGAACGATGACACAGGGAGATGGTACCAGACTCAAGTCTTCCGATACCCACGCATCGGTAGTTTCGAGATCTTCGTCAACAAAGGCAAGGCACGAAGAGAGGTCTTCTCGAAACTGAAGACAGGTAAATGGTGCAACGTAGAATGGGCTGTCAGTAAGGTGCTAGAAACTGTCAATCAACTCGGCGGATGGGAAGCAGTGCCAGAACCACCAAAACCGAAGAGGAAATTTATGTTCATGTTCTTTGCCTGCTTCGGTGGACGACCTACTTCCTGACTAAGTACTTGTACTTATAATCAGAAATAAGAAGTCCTCCTCTCCTGTCTATTTCAAAATGAAAAATGTCGAGCAGTAGAAGTTAAGATGCTTAAAAAGAACTTCCATCCCCATTGCTTAAACACTTCCATCCCCATCTTCCCTCTTCTAATCTCAATAGCGGTGTTGGCGGTAAGATGAGCATTAGCGATGACGAGTTGCGATTGCTCATGAAGAAGAAGTTTGCGACACTCCTAACTGCATTCAAGTCATTCGACAAGAACGGTGATGGGCAAGTGAATAGAAAGGAGTTCTCAACCGGTCTCAGACACGTTGGCGTGGACTTACCGCCCAAGGTGGTTGACCGACTATGGGCACTGGCGGACACTGACGGAACAGGAGCACTCGCATACACAGAATTCGCAAGGAAATTCGCTCATTACAGGTAACGAAACTAAGACAACAGTATGTACAACTGTACAACAATAACCACTGGTAGAGTTGTTACCCAGATGATGTCGTGGGATGCCTATTAATTTACAGTTTCAAAAAAGTAAAACCTTTTTCCCAGCTGCACTTCGCTTCAACATCATAATCACGACCCCCATCCCTTCACCACAGGGCATCAGCCACCCTCCACAAGGAAGTTGGCTTCGCATCAAAGGAGGACGAGCAAGCAGAAAAATTGCACGGTACCGGAGCCGGTCGACGAATGACACGCAGTAGTATTCAGAGGTCGGATCAAGCCGGCTTAGCCTTTGAGGTGGATGCAGAGGATTTCAATGCTGATGCGAAAAAAGATTATGGCCAATGTAGAAGAGGAGTGAGTAGTTGTTGTTGGTTCATGCTCATCTAGGTGTTGTAGACGGTAGGACTTTTACATTTACAACCTAGAAAATAGTAAGTATGCTGGTCCTCTTGTTAAACATTGTCCAGTACATTCATCATCATCATCATCATCATAAATTAAGATCATTCTTAACCTTATCGTTCGCGAGTTCTTATGTGACTATTGCGTAGCAAGCAGTTGCTTATGTCTTTATTGTCGTTGATCAACGAAGAAGAATTCCACCTCCAACTCCGAGAAGAGATGACAGTTGGGATGATCGCAAGGACGGGAGGCGACCTCTCAGCCAGAGATATCGAGACTCTGACAGGAGATGAAATTCGAGCTCTCTGTCTCCAAAAACACGGCAACCTGCTGGTCGCCTTCCGAGCACTCGCAGTCGGAAGTAGTGACTTCAGAGTGGCATATAGGTACTCGTCCAGAATATTAGGGAAGCTTGATTTTGACCCGAAAAATAGGCGCATTACTTCGACTAAGCGCAATCTATACTCTGCTGACGTGCGCACTAGCTCGCACTCGTACAACTTTGACTCAGCATAGTACTTGCTACCGTAACCTTCTCACCTCCTCCTCCACTGAAACCAACCACAAACAGCGACTTCATGGATCGCTTCCCAGCCGTAGTGGGAAAGAAGCCATCTGCTTTGAAAATGAACCAAGTCTGGCAGAGTATGGATGCGGACATGAGCGGATACATCGACATGAACGAGTGGTCTTCCAACAAGTGCCTGGATAAGACCAGCAAGACTTATGGCTGAAAGTAACAATTTTTTCATTGTCATTCTGGTAAGTAACACGACGACGACAGTAAGTAATTGTAATAGTAAAAATAATATTTATCAGAGACTGCCTTTGAAGGTGAGACCTATGGGGCTGACACCAGGACGACGATAGCGCCGGCGCTTAATTAGTTTTAGCAGGTAGCAGGATACTTGTTGATAGTTGCCCTTTTCTCTTTCCTATCTTCCTCTGGTCTGTCTTTTTTCTAGTTAGGTCGGCTCCACCACAATTTATTAGAGACTAGCTACAACTTTATTAGAGACTTGATTTTCATCATTTTGAAGAGTTGCTTCACCATCTGGTTCTGGATAGCATGTTGGTCAAGACAACAAGACAGCTGAATCTAACAAACGGTGCTCATTATGAAGGGCAAGGCTGCCTACACGAGTTCGCAAGACGAGGGTTCTGCTCCTGCGCAAGTGCTGGAATAGGAGTTGCGTAGATCAGAGAAGAAAAATTATTAGTTGGGTAAAATGAATCTCATTGATAGAATATTCCGATATCACAATCACATTGTCCTTGTCGTATAATAGTGTTTCTATCGTTCTGGTTGAGCTTCGGAGGTACTACTTCCCTACTGGATGGCCTCACAAGTAGATGCTAATAGCTACATAAGAGGCACCATGACCACATGACAGACATCGTTTATTACTGTCCAAAGTACTTCAAATGGTTATGTTGCAGAGCTCATCCAAAATGAACCTTGAACAAGAACTAACATCGAATATTAAGTATGTTGATGCAATTTTGTTAGCTATGACAGAACTACTCAAAGTTCTTCTTAGGTTTAATATGTAATCAAAGTTCTTCTTAGCTATAATGCTTCTAGACTGACAATATCAATATTCACCACCATCTAAAATGAACAATGTCGTCCATCTCATTGCATTCTCCTATTGATCATCACACAAAAAGTTTTGAAGAGACGAAAACATCATCTAAGTAATGCGAATGTTATACTGATTAGAGCTTCGTTGATTCAATATTCGTCATAGATCTACTGTCGTTATCCACAAATCTACTGTCGTTAATATCACAAAGTAGATGTTACTCCACTTAATGCCTCAACATTAGTTATATAAGATAATTTGCCCCCTCAAGAAGATTATCAGATGTTCGTATGTTGTGATGAATTTGAGCAGAATCAAGAATTAATTTTATAGATATAGTCCGGGCGTCATTAGATGAAAAAAGCCAGGTAATGCCACGTTGCCGGCAGCACCACAAAAAATCTGTACATATACAATCGATCTCATTAATGCGATCATGTTCTTCTTACATTAATATGAATACCTTCTTCATGATTAGGAGGTGTTGCCACCTTCTTAGGAAGTTCTTATGTGTGATATAGAAGAAGCTCAAGGTAACGACCCTAGTCATCTAATCTTAGATGAAAGAACATAGGCATCGGGTCTGCAGCTACGAAACAAGAATGAAGAGGATATTCGCTCTCGCGCGAAAAGTAAGATGAAGAAGTAAGAGAAGATCGAGTTGGTTTCGACTTCCCGTAATTGTACTAACTTGGAATGATCAAGACTCACTCTGACTCTTGCGTACTTACATTTCAAGCCACACCGATCTAGCTCTAGCATGTGTTCTTTCACCCATTGTCGGTCGAGAAATAGCTGCATGAGAGACCAAGTAAGCTGGTAAATTGGCGCGCTTAACAAAAGTAAGCAGATTGATGTCATCCTGTCTCCGTTGTAATGAGAGTTCCCAGTTGAGAGACCGAGGAGCAAAAAAATGCAAGAGGAGCCAGTGCGTCTTAAAAAGCTTCAACCTAAGACGAGAATCAGCCGCGAAAGGCCAGCAAAAACGAGAAAGATGTGCTTTTCCTGAAATCTCCAAATCCAAATCCAAATCATTCATGTGAGTTCTACGTTGCAGTAGCAGTGTTCGTTACATCAACACACGAAAAGCACATTACTCGCAAAGCAAAGGGCAATCCTTGCCTATCAGAATCTTGAATAATCTAAGTAGTACCTATTTTTGATTGTGCTTATACCTCTAGCATCATGATTAGGTTTATTCCATCCTTTGAAGATGTGTACCTTCGGCTTTGTTGTTGTATGTTCTCGCGTGTGTTCATTTTAGATTTAGACGGCTAGAAAGCGGCGTCAGCGTAATTGTTTGTAATCTTTCTTTTCCAGCTTTCGTTTCTTCTAGCGTGGCGTCGTACTCGTAGTTTTGGTTTTCTTCGCAGCGATTACAGACGAAGTAGATCATGTCTTATAATCTTCAACCTCGTGCTATATATAAATGAATGAATGAATGAACCTAAGTATCAGCTTCCCTGCAGAAGAACGCAAGATAGAAATTCTTTTCTTCCTCGTTCAGCTCCAAAAAAAACAACATGTCCGGTCCCTCTGCGGGGACCATCCCTGAGGATGGGATGGTCGAGGGATTCGAGGATGCAGCAGGCCGCTCGTTCATGTCGATCGAACAGCTCCGCAAAGATGCCTTGAGCAGCTACATCTTGAATGAGAAGGGCGGTCAGCGGGTTATCTCACGTATCCTGATTGCGAGCAATGGTTTGGCAGCGGTGAAGGCGATTCGGTCCATGCGAAGATGGGAAGTGTTGGAGGTTCTAAATTATGGAAAGGAAGTAGAACTATTTTAGACTTGTACTAGAGTTACTAGTAGTTCTTCGATTTATAATAATTATATTCGAAAAACTGAAATAAGCAAGTAACTGATCAGAATAACCGAGACGCGACTGATGAGAAGGAAGAGTAGCCTTGGTGTTAAGCTACCTCCCTTATTTCAGTCACTAACTCGGTTATTTTGAGTTTTCGAAATAGTAAATGCTGACCTTATTAATTTCTTTTTCGGTTTTTGTTTTTTCTAGTTAGGTCTGGGTCTGCTCCACCAACATTATAGTAGTAAGTAAATGCTATTGCTAAAGTTTTTAAAGCTGCTAAAAGAAAGTAGCAAGCTCTTTCTCTTGTTCGTCATTCCTCCTCTAACTCCCAACCCGCGGAAACTTGGACAAGTGCTTAACCTTTGTCTCCATGGCCACGCCAGAAGACATCGCCGCAAACGCGCAGTTTCTCCAGATGGTTGATTCCTTTGTCGAAGTTCCCGGAGGAAAGAATCTGAACAACTATGCGAATATCGAACTGATCTGCAAAGTGGCTGTGCAGGAGAGGTACTATCATCTTCGGGTTTCTTCATATTTCTTGCACTACGATTTCCGTCGTCTTAGACCACAGATGAACTAACTAGATACACAAAGTACAAGTAGATCAGAAAACTTTAACGAGCTACACTAGCTCTTTGGAGTGGTTCCCCAGGGGCAGGGGTCAACGGAATTTCAAAACATTTGCTAGAACAATGAACTGCAGGTGAATGTGCAAGAAAAGCAAACAGATGCTTCGCCAAAATAAATGTGAAATAGCATCAGTCTCGTCTTCTGGACGAAATGCAAGGTCAAAATTCAAAATCC